TGATGTAGAAATTATAGTTGGAGAGGACAATGACATTAAAATTTTTAAAGCACATTCCACCATTTTAAAAACAAGATCTTCATATTTTAAAACAGCCTTTTCTAAAAGTTGGACAAAAAAATCCAAAGATGGTATTATTTTATTTGAAAAAAAAAATATTTCTCCAAAAATATTTCAAGTACTTTTAACGTAAGGATTATTTAATCTAATTTGAATAATTTGAACAATTACAATAATATATTTAAGTAAGTTTTATGTTTTAATTTTTAAAAAGATATCTATACAATGGAATTGTCAATATTGATAATTTAAGTCAAACTGAAATTGTTGAACTTCTTGAAGCATGTGATGAATTAGATATTAGTGAATTAATTGAAGGTTTACAAAATCACCTAATTATTGGAAAAAAAAAATGGATTCAACAGAATTTAAATTACATTCATAATATTTCATTGAAGCACCTATCATTTGATTTACTTCAAGATTTTTTCAAGAAATTAATTACTCATGATCCTGTGATGTTTTTGAGATCTGATGATTTCAAAGAGATTGAAAAATCTATGCTCATGTTTATATTAGAAAGAGATAATTTGGGAATAAATGAAATAGATATTTGGGATTGGGTTGTACAATGGGGAATAGGTCAAAATAGAAATTTGGAAAAGAATATCTCAGTGTGGAAGAAGGATGACTTTATCATGTTGAAAAGTATAATAGAAGATGTTCTTCCTCTAATAAGGCTTAATCAAATTTCATCAAATGATTTTTACACAAAAATCAAACCTTATAAAAAAGTCTTTGCTAAAGAAATGTTTGAAGAACTTCTTCGATATCATATTACTGATGATTGGCAACCAAGATTAATACTTCAACAAGGTCCAAGAACAGGAATTGGAAAATTATTAAATTCAGATACAAAAAGTTTAATTTCTAGTTGGATTGATAGAAAAAGTAAACACAATCCACCTTATTATTTTAAATTGATTCTTTCTATATCTCAAGATGGATTTTCTAGATCTGTTTTTGAGGATAAATGTTATAACCTTGAACAAACTGTGGTTATAGTGAAATTAAAACAGACAGGAAAGTTAATTGGTGGATATAATCCAGTTGGTTGGAATTTAAAAGGAAGGTCTCCAAATGAAGATTATTGGATTACAACTGACAAAAGTTTTATTTTCAATATTGATGAAAATAAAATGAATGATTCAATATTCAGTAAAGTCAAAAATCCTGAACATGCAATCTATCATACTAAACCAAGTGTTAATTATGCTCATATTAACAAAAAATTTCATGAAGTATTAGTTGATTTTAATGATTTAGCACTAGGTAGTAGTATTAATAATGTACCATATTGTTATTACAATTTTTTCAACTATGAAAATAATTTGAATCTTAAAAATGGTCTTGAAAGTATTCATTTGGTAGAGGAATTAGAAGTTTATGAACTAGTAGAAAACCAGGCTTGGCACCATACTCCCAGCTACTCTAATATTCAAAAATGTATTTTTAACTTTGCTGGAAAATTATTATTATTAATCTTTGTTTATTATATGGTACATTTTTTCATTTAATTTTTGTTTTTAATAAAAGAGGAGATTTATTTATTTGTATGATTTAAATTTCAATTTTTGTAAATGTTACCGAGAAATAATGAGTGGTTTTACTTACTCGCTAAATAAAATTCGCTGATTAATTCGAAAATTCGAATGTAGAAATTTATTATTATTGACGATTGATTAATCGATTGTTGAAAATATTCAACGATTGGATAATCGATTGTGGAAAATGCTAGAATGTTTTTATATCTTTATTTTTAATGAGAGGTTGGCTCTGTGCAAAATTCTTGAGTTTTTTAACCGATAGTAATAGTATATTCCAATTTTTTCTTTATCGGTTCTATTTTCCTTCGTAGCCCTTGTAGTAGTAATAATAATAATAGTAGCAGTAGAAATAATTGCCATTTTTCTTTTTCCTTTGCAGTGATAATATAATAGTAATTTAACAGTTATAAATTTTTTTATTCGTTATGAATTTAGTATTCGAATTACATTGAATTTTTATTCGAATAAAACGAATAAAACGAATAATGGTAACGAATAAAGCGAATAACAAATAAAACATATAATAATAATATTACCGAATAAATTCGAAAGAAAAAAAAAATCAAAGATTGATGTTTTGGTATTTGTATATTATTTATTTCTAGTTAGTATATATAAAAATTTGTAACAACATCTATTTTTAATGGAAGTATAATACTCTCTTTTGAATAATAAAATAAAACAATGGACATTTTTGTGCATATACGGATAATCGGGTTTCCAAGATTTTAATTCGACTGATTATTCGATATCAAAATTTTGATTCGACCGATTAACCGAGTGTTAACCTTTATTGACTGACCGATTACCAAAATATTTGATTAATGACCACCACTGGGAAGAGTTATTTCGAGCCATGTTCTTTTTCAACAAAATAAATAATGTCGAATGGCTCCATCTAGAGAATATCGACTTATTATTTAGCAGCAATTAAAATATATTATAAACATGTAAATGATTTAACAAAGTTATAGATGACCCTGATTTGTAGAACAGATCAGGATGGTGGTGTTAAAACTTTTAAAGCTCACTCCAACATTTTAAAACCAAGTTCTTCATTTTAAAGTTGCTTTATCTGGTAATTGAATAAATTGGATAAAAAGGTCTGAAGATGGTGTTATTTTATTTGAAAAAGAATACAAAGATTTTATTATTAAAATTTATCTAATTATTATTATCACATGACAGTGTTTACGTGATCGCAATTTTTTTTTGGATATTGCAGGTAATCTAGTTGATATATTCTTTATATTCTTGTTAAGGATGGGGCAGTTCCGCTCCGCTCCTGTGGAGCCGCGTTAATAGGTGGAACGGTTCTTAGAGCCATAATTATAATAATTTTTCGCAAAATAAATATATAGTAATAGCAATGTGTCGCAAAGATAAAGCAATTGAATTTAGTGTTCCATGTTGTAATCCAAAAAAGGAAACAAAATAGTCGTAAAGGCAGTTGCAATCATTTTTATATGACGCAAAGATGGTAACAACCATCATCAAAAGTTGCAGCCAGTATCTTAATTGAATTTAGCAATGTGCCGCGAAGATAAAATAATTGAATATGTCGCGAAAATAAAATAATTGAATTTAGCAATGAATGTGTTGTGAAAATAAAATGATTGAATATAGCAATGTGTCGCGAAAATAAAATAATTGAATTTAACAATGTGTCGCGAAGATAAAGCAATCTAATTTAGCCAATGTGTCGCGAAAATAAAATAATTGAATTTAGCAATGTGTCGCGAAAATAAAGTAATTGAATTTGACAATGTGCCGCGAAAATAAAGTAATTGAATTTAACAATGTGTCGCGAAGATAAAATAATTGGATTAAAGTAATCGAATTTATTAAGCTTTCTGCCTTTTCAGAAGATGCAAGTCAAAATGCTCGTGTACATATTAAAACAATCTTTGAAACTTATCAGGAGAATTTTTCTAATATATCATCTCCTATGAGAAGAACATCGACATTTATGAATACAAGTCGCCAATATTTTATACAACTTTGTCAAAGCACCCCTTCACAAACTTCATCTGTAACCAAATATAAGTAATATGGCGAGAGATTATCTTGCCATTCAAACAACAAGTGTTCCATCAGAGCAGGCTTTCTCTGTTGCTGGAAATACAATTAGCAGAACATGGAATCGCTTGTTGCCAGAAACTGCAAGAGCCTGTTTGTGTATGAAAAGCTGGATAGTAAATAAAATAGAGAATAGAATGCATAAAATTTTTTCATCTTTTATTGTAGATGTATTAAAGATATACTTATCATTATTTTTCTCTTCTTTAATTCTTTGTAATTTTGTTTCTTTTATTTATTCATTTGTCTATTCATTTACTTATTCGTTTGCTTATTATTTATTTATTTAATAAAAAAAATTTCACGTGATATATTCAAAGATCTTTCCTTGTAATAACAATTATACTGCTCTGACAGGACCCCGAACAATCTTAGTGTTAAGAGATAGTACATTTGAAAAAATACCCACTTTATTACCATTTTTGGAAATAATTTACAAGATCATCACAAAATTTATCCTAATTAAAAAATGATATTCGATTTTGAGGGCCATTTCTACCCAAAATTGAAATGTACCATCTCCTAAGATTGTTCGGGGTCTGCTCTGACGTTTCGGACCGTTCAAAATGACCAAAAACTGATGGTCTTGTCTTGAAACCTTCGTCAAAGGTTCGCCACACAACGTGTTAGTGATATTTTCTGGTCACGAGACCGGGGTTCAAAAACGTTTTATTTCGTTGTCAATTTTAATGTTCGATAAACAATATTTTTTGATTGTTCGTGTTGAATTAAAAATTTTTTTTATATATTTTGACCATTTGAAAGATAGTGGATGATCTGAATCCCTTTTGGAGAAATCAATAAAATCATTGATCAATAAAAAATTTCCTTTCGTTGATTAATTAAGAAAAAAAAAGTTTAGTTGATTTTTTTAACAATTGAAATTTATTCTTCTATTGTGATTTAAGATTTGAAATCGATCAATTCGATCTTTAATGGAATAAAAATAAATAAACAAAATAAACATGAGGAAAAGATCAAAACAAAAGATCTTTTTTTTTTTTAACAATTGAAATTCGCAAATAGCCTTTGATTCACATGAGTATGAGGGTTCTTCTTTGCAAAGGATCTTTTTTTTTTAATTAAGGAAAAAAAGGCTTAGTTGATTTTTTTAACAATCGAAATTTATTCTTCTATATATAGTGATATAGACTTGAAAAAAACATCTAATTGATCAAATTGACCTTTGATTTGGGATGTATAAATAAATAAAAAATAAAAAACAAACCAATTCGCCTCTTGAATATTTTTTACTTGCTTGCTTTTTGTATAGTATTTCTTTAACTTTGATCATTTATTATCTTGTCATCAACTATGTTCATCAAGTCAGCCGGTGGGATACATCCAGGCAGTTGACGCTTTAAATCGTGAGAGGATCAATGGTGGGTCTAGAAACTTGCCTTTCAAGATTCACACGAACCTCCAAATATCCATTACAATCCAGGAAGGAACGGGGTCGAGCGCAACATCTGCAATGGGACGATTGGAGTGATGACTAAAGTCGTTGATGATGACAATGTGGAAGCTACGTTCCCAACAACTAGCAATGTGATGAAAATCAACGTTCAGCAAATTTTGGAAACAGATGAAACTGAAACAAAAATCCGTCGTAATGAAACTCCTAATTGGAACAAATGGATATGGCCTTCTGGCATTTCTGGAATAGAAGCTCTCGATAAAGCCAGTTCAGAAGCAGAACATTACTAATGTTAGTCTAATTTAAACATTAGATATTTTTATATTTTCTTTTGTAAATACTTAAAAAACTTTTAATTTTAGGCTAGAAAAATTTTGATATCAAATTTTCTATTTTTCGCTAGCTGATTTTTTTTAATTCAAATTCAAATTTAATTAATTCAATTGATGTGATTAAAATTTAATTTTGGGTGGCTTACTAGGGTACGAAATTCTGATTGGCTGTAATGCAGATCATCTAAAAATAGTTTTTTTTTTCAATTTTGTTGCCTTTTGGTGAATGAAATATAATAATAATAATAAGAGGTTGAGTTTGGTCGAGAAAGAGAGAGAGAGGTTACGAAAAAAAAAATGTAGGGACGGCCGTCCTATTTATATTTTTTTGAATTAATAAATAGACTATTGTCTTGACCTGAGTGATGTCGTGAGTAAAAGGCACGAAGCTCGCTATCACGATCTCGTTTAAAAGTTTGCAGAGAATTGAATGGCGTGTAACAAACAATTTTTTCGTAGAACAATTTTTTTGATTGCTTGATAAAGATGTAAATTGAAAAAAACGAAAATTGCATTATTTAAAGGACATCCTCATCAGATTTATCGTGATTCAACAACAACAAGAAAATTTAAAAGTGATAAAAATAGAAAACAAAATTAAAACTTACAAAAATATGTACCAAAACCTGTCTTATGTGCTATGTAAAGGTCGTTCTAAGTACTAATACTATGTTGTTTCAACTCTGACACTAAAAATAGCTCAAGCATATTATTACCATTATTATTATGCGTAGTTCTTAGTTAACTTCAAAGTCAAAAATTCGAAAAAAAAAAATCAACTCACATGTATGTAAAGACAATTTTGATTTTTTGCATTTTATGTAATAAAAGAATGGTTTAATTTGTAGAAAAGAAGAGGCATTTTTATTTTGAAAGAAAAAAATAGGTTGCTTATTTAAATAATTCAAATTATAACATTTGTAAACTTCCGTGATGATTATTCTTGAATTATTACAATATACATACAATGATATAATAATTCTTTGATAATCCTATTTATCATTATCATTATTGCTGCTTGTATCAAGTGTTTTTGTTCATATCAAGCATTTTTACTTGCGTCAAGGGCTTTTACTTTAGTCAAATCGTCAAAATGGCCCTGGTGAGAAACTCCCTTTAGTCAATACTTTAGTTACGTCAATGGTTAAAGTCAAAAGTTTCGTCATACATCATTATCCTAAAATAGTTGATGTTAAATATCAAAAAATTAGCATTATGTAATAACCAATCTTATTGTTCTTATTATTATAAAGGGAATATACAAAAATAATTTGAATCTTGGAAAAAGTTTTACAATGCTTCATTTGATAGAGGAATTTGAGGTGCATTAAATTAGTAACAAAAATATATATTTTGATTTTTCATAAAACAATAGCAAACACCATTGTTACTACCATTGTTACCACCATCGTTACCATTATTACCATTTTTGCGCCTGATAATTCGAATAATAATTTTTTTTCTTGTATTATGGATTAAGTAATTTTAATTTATATACAATAATGCACAAATTTCCCACAAACATATATATAGTAATTATAAGAGAATTTGTAATTTGCTTTTTTATACACACTCGCAAGTTTTGTATGTTAAATATTTTTAATCATACTAGACCTTATTAATACATGCTTGATATCTTTTCTTTGTATATATTCAGCGTTAGTCACTTTCTAGAATTGTTTCTTTGGCTTTTTTTTATATTATCTAATTTAATAATATCCTTAGGACCTTCTGTTTAGCAACTAATTTCCAATTTTGAAATATAATTCACATACAGCGTATACAAATTAGACATTTTTTCAACATGTTATGACGAGGCCATCCTTCCTTTCCTATCTAGTAAAGTTTCGTCATAAACTCTTTATAAAATGTTTAAATACCATTCGTTGCTGTTGCTATTATCAAATATGTTGTGGAAATATCAACTGAAAATGAATTCTATATTATCAAGACATCTGCTTGATCTTAAGCAATTTGATTTCGTCTCATTAAATATGAGTTCAAGATTTAAACCTCCATGTACTCATGTACTATACTTATTATTGATCAATGCACAATATTCAAACTTCCATTGTTTTTTTCTTATTATTTATTTAACTCGTACAAAGAAATTGAAGTTATATCGTCTATAACATAGAAATAGTTATAAGCACGTCTAGAAAATGTAATTTTTTGCTGTTCTCAGAACAGTGGATAATTTTCTGTATGTTAAATTGTTACCTTACAGTACACTAAAAAAAGGTTTATTCTCCCTATTTTTATTTGTTTTTCTTACCATACTGCTACTAATATTAATATTAATATAAAATTTTTCCTCAGAACAGTTTTTTGGGGCCTAAGGCACAAGTTCATGTTGAACATTAATACATAAATCACGGTTGTAATAATTATGATGCTGAGCTAGCAGGTATTAGTATTTTTAGAATTTTTAGACCACGTAATTTGTGGATAAGTAGTTTTTGTTCTATTTTATTTTGTCAAAAAGCCTATACATTTTTAATGATTGACTAATTATGATTATATTATATTAATAAAAATTATTCACACATTTTTTTCTAAAATAAATATGTATACATATATTTTTTATGTACAAAAAATGAAATGAAAAATGCAAATGCAAAAATGATGCTGTTTTTTTTTTGATTTTTTTGATTTTTTTGTTTTGTTGTGTGTGTGTGTGTTGTATGTATAATTGAATGTTGAGATAAAATATGCAAAGCAAAATTAAATATATATATGAAATGAAAAATTAATAATAATTATAATTATTTTTATTAAAGAGCAATACCGGTTTGCTCATAAACACTATTATTAGTACTACTACTATACTGAGAATCTTGATCAATATCGTGATTACTATTATCTATTAAACTTTCATCTTGATTAACATTACTATGAAGACCATAATAATCACTATCTCGTTGCTGTTGTTCGTTCTCATCTTCTTCAACAAATGCAGGTGTCGGCGGGACAACTTCCACAATTGGTGGGACATTACTGTCTTGATTTTCTTCAGGATAAACTGATAATAATACATCAATATGGTTTACACTATCATCAACATCACCAAAACTGTCACCATCATAAATAAATTCTGACGGAGTTGGTTTTGGTGGTGGCGTGCTATTATTAAGTGTTGAAGATGATGATAACGATGACATAGATGAATCATTATGTATTGTGATACTTATATCAGGCCTGAGTCTATTATCATTGCCATCTTCTTGATCATCTTCTAAAGTTTTATAAATTGATTTAAGATATGCTGGTGCAGGTTTTAATAAATACTGATTTTTATTAATATCATCATCATTATTATCAATTTTATCGTTGTTGTATATTAATTCATCATTAAAATCTTCATCATCACCCGATTTTGTATCTAATCCATCGATTCTAATCCTTATGCCACTAGTAAGATCAAATTCTGCTTTTTCGGTTGGTGTTTTATGACCAGAAAGGAAGTTCATTATTTTATTACCCATGTTGCTATGGGTTGGTTCAGGTGGCATAAGATTATTGTTGGCATTATTATTGCTACTACTTAAATGATTTGAATGATACGAATGATTTGAATGATTTGAATGATATGAATTATTTATATTTGGTGATTGTGGAGATCTTGGGGATCTTGGGGATGATCCAATACGTGAATTTGTTGTATTACTACAAATTGGAAAAAAATAAATTAGAATTATATATAAAGTGAAATAATCAACACAAAAATAATTAAACTTACAAGCTCCTCAAAGTACTGGTAGTACCATTACTAGAGGTTTTATCGTCCAGTTCAAAATTAATACAACATCCACACACCAAATCTAATTTCAATTTCCTGGCCCATCTTAAATATGCTTGTTTTGCATCACGTCCAGTACCAAAAAAAGCGAATAGGATTAAGCCGGTCAAAGGTTTAACATAATCAATAAATGACACGCCATTGTCGAATTTTTTGATCTCAAAGAAATCTTTATGTATTTCAGCAAAATCATAAGGTACTAACTCTTGTAGATTCGAGAAAAATGTTAGACAGGCTGCTGGAAATGCAATTATCAAGAATGTTATGCAGAAAAGCACCAATCGATAAAATTTTGATATGTTTAAACCAGACTTGGAATATTTTAACAGGCTTTGTATTTCTAGTCCTTTTTTAATGATAGTATAGGCAGTTCGTGCTATAAAATAAATAATTATTTATTAATTTTTTTTACATGTAAAAAAGGTTTTTATTTTGAAAGAAAATTATAACAATATTTACCTGCGAAATAACATCCAGTACCAGATATTATTAAAGGCCACATTGCATCTACAACAATATATACCCAAGTATTACTCACTTGTATAGAACACCCAAGAATAGGTCTGAGTCCATAAATAGTTGTAATGTTCAAATAAGTCAACGCAACAAGCATGAATGGGAAAACGATCGACAGAAAAAAATGTATTAAGATTTGACGTTTCCTGACATTTTCAGTCAATAATGTTGGCTTAACAACATAATTGTGTAGCGTGTGTATCATACACACAGCCGAAGCCATAATACCAAAATGTGCAGCATTATACAATGGCGTAGCTATGTAACAGTATACTGGAGCTTTATCGTCCAAATCGTCCGCCCATAATATGGAATTGATGAAAATTATAGTGTTTGTGAGCAGCACCCAGAATGTCATAAATATCGCACCCCAATTTCTTGTTTGTATGTGAATGATACTGGGCACTATACATAAAATAATTGCTACAAACGCAGAAGCTGTGAAAACGTAATCCGGCATTTTTTAAAATTATTCTATATTTATAATTACAAATACAATTATTATTATTATTATTATTATTTATTAGTTAATTTGGGAAAGAATGTGTTTTTTTTTTATTTGTAAGGAAGAGGGAAAAAAGAATGTAATTTATAAGTTATAATGTATTATATCCAGATAATTGAATCTCCGACTTGGATTTTTTCAAGTTCTCGAAACTTTTTTTTCTCTTGAGAAAAAATTCTATTTAAAGAATGTTTTAATCAAATATAAATGTATTTTTGGAAACGTTGATGTTGATGTTGATTCAGATTAGTATTAAAATGTTGAATTACGAGTCGATGATAATGATGATGCTAATTAAAAAATGCTAGTATGATGATATGATGATGATGATATAGTTAGTCGGAGATTCAAGCACCTAAAAAATTGGTAATTAATATAAAATTAATTAATGAGAAAAAATAAAAATTGAAGAAACAAAAAAGACGTTTTTAATTGTTATTGTATTGTTTTTTCTTTTCTTTTTCTACTTCTGATGGCATTCAACCATTCGAAGAAAGAAAAGGCAAACAACAATTTTCAACGAGAAGAAAAAATGAAAAGAGAGTGAAAGAGAAATTTATTTGAATTCAAATAAGAATTCCCATTAATTACCTGTTAAGAATAATAATTATAACGATAAATTATAAATGACGAATAAGTTAAATTAAAAACCCAATTTATATAAATTATTTCAATAGGGAATATTGTATTCCCTTTTTATGTGCATATTACATCGACATGTATTATGCGGGCTATTAAGAAAACAATTAAAAATTTTCTTTCTTTGATAATCTCTCTATTATTTTTTGATGTTTTTCGTATGACCTTGGCATATTTAACGCCGATCGATCCTTGTTGTGTTAAAAATAGCAATACTCAAGTTAAATTTACTTGAAATACTGATTTGGAAATCCCTTGTTTTTATTTTTCATTGGAACGTGACATTGTTATGTTAATCCGATACCACTAAAGTTCAATGAGAAAACGTTACACACCAGTAATATTCTTTCAAATTTGTACTAGTTCCACAGCCTCCACAACTAATCGGTAAACGAACGAATTGATTAATTTAGACAATAATTTGGTCATACATATTATACACTAATCATACATGATCATGATAATGTAAGTAATTGTAACTACTACTACTCCAACCTCTTCTTCATATTTTGACAATATTTAATGTGTACATTGTATATAATCTGTTCCCAATTGGTTTTTACTTGTAAAAGAAATTCCAACCTCTTTGTATTTTAAATTTTATTTATTATGCGTACTAGCAGTTAACGGTTAGCACACAACACAAATACAAACAAACAATTTAATATTAAATGTTTATATACTAGCGAAAGGAAAAAATATATACCCTTTGCCAAAACGAAATTCGAATTATTTACATAATAATATCGTGCTGTTAAACATAAAAAGCAATTGAAATTAACATATGGTATAGTGCTTGATGTAAATCAATTCAAAATATTATGTAAATTTTTAAAAAAATAATTTTTTTTATTCGTCCTTGGAGGAAATGGGATTATAACCACCAACCATTTTTTTTTTATAACCATATTACTATGACATTCATTTATCCCCAAAATATATCACCTGAGCACAAGGTGAGCTATTTGTTCTTGGATCGCTCGATATTAATATTATGATATTGAAGAAGTTTCTCAATCGTCAAAATCATTCTTGTTCTACATTGAAAATATTTCTAAAGTCATCCATCATCGGATTTTTAGTACTTTGAAAAATAAACCCGGTTCTGTTGAAACCATTTTCCCTCTATGCAATAAATAACTTTTAGAAATATGCAACTTCTTTTTTGAGCATATAAAATGTCTCGTGATTCACCTCGATTGAATGAATTAAATTTGAATATACATTTTCTTTTTCAAGCCGTCTTCAGTCTTTTTTTGTCCAATCATCAGATAAAGCAAGCAAAATGGATAAATCATTTTGCTTTTAAAATATTGGCCATCCCAACTCTAATCTTTTATATCATAATAGTCAATTTTATTTAACAATATCCTTATTGTTGGAATTAATAAGGTTGTTAAATAACGAGTTTATGATAATTCCAAAGGATTTTTTTTTTTAAAAAAAACGAAATTATAGGATTCAAAGATACAAGTGAGTTATTTTTCCACGTATTTAGATGTGACAGAAATTTTCGATCAGAGAAAAATACAAATGATATATATATAATTAATTAGTAAATTTATTATTTTTTATTTAATTTGTCAGTTATTTTTTAGATTTGATTTGATTTGATCTCAACTTTTCTTTTATTAAATTCACGATGTAATGTTAAAGCTTTTTCAATTGATTTAATTAATGGTCTAAGAATCTAATAACGGAATAAAGTGCCGAAAATAAATAAATACATTTATTATTATTTTAAGAATGAAGAATAAAATAAATACCTGTTTTAAATTTTGTGAAATTTCCGTTGATTGTTTTTTTCCATTAATATTGCTACTACTACTACCACCACCACTACCAACACCAACACCACCACTGCTATTAAGATTAAGATTAAGGTTATTAAGGTTATTAATCACTTTTTTTTGAAGCTTTAATGAACCACCACCACCACCATTACTAACGCTATTGGCACCATTAACATTTAATTTGGTTTGGGATTGCTGAAATTTTTGCAACTCATCATCATCTAGTTGAATTTCTAGTAGTTTACGTATTTTCGTCAATGTAATTTTTAACTGTTCCACCATTCTTTTATTCTTTTCCATTTTTTCTTTAACATTAGAACCATAACTTGCCCAGAAATGTCTTAGGAATTCATTCCCCATTAATTGTATTAATTTGACCTCTTTTTCAAACTTTGACGGCAGATCATCTGATGATATTAGAATTGTGATTAGGATTAAAGGATTAGAATTTATTATTATTATTATTATTATTATTATTATTATTAAAACTTGCCTATTTTATGATTGGCTTCTCGATTACGTTGTTGTTTTTGCTTTATTATTTCAAAAGATTTAATATAAAAATCTTTGCATGCGTTTCCAAGAGATTCCTAATTTAGTGAATAATTATTTTATGATTAAAAAACAAACAAACATTCATTTTTAAAAATCACTATTACTGCTATCGTATTCCATATAGTTTAGTAATTAATTGGATTATATATACTAACATTATTTTGTACGTCTTTCAACATATCCAAATTCCATCCTGTAACATCATTTTTGAGAGTTTCAATTAATTCATTTAAATTCTAGAAGAAAAAATTTTTATTTTATTTAATGTAGAAACAATAAAAATAATAAAATCATATATTATTAGGGACATATACATACACGAGTAGAATTTAATAAATCAATCGCTTGACTAGTTTCGGTTGATTGGTTTGCAAAATATTCACGTTGATCTCTAATATCAAGTAATATTTGTTGATTAGATTGTTCATCGCACAAATCTTCTAATAGTAACTCGTTTATATAATCCTCTTTCTATCCAAATATACCATAAATGAATATATAAAAACAAACATCGTTGGTTTTCTTTTATAAATAAATAAATTTACATGATTAAAATACCTTTTTCTCCATATAATTTTTCTCTTTTTTCTCTTTTTCCCTATTAAAGAAGAATTTTTTTAAATATTTATTTGTGAAATATTATTGCTATTATTATATATATATATATATAATATTATTCTATTTATTCCATATTTTTTCATATTCATTCATTCATTTCTTATTTTCATTTCCAGACAAATGTATATCATATTACCTTGCCGGTGCTTCTAGTATTCTTTCTGAATGTCTATTGTTTCGTCTTAACAATGATAAAACCTTACTTTGACTTGGCCTCATAGTAATATCTGGCATCGGTTCCAACTAATTATTATTATCAAAGAATATATGATGTCATATAATATTTTAATAATATATAACTTGTAATAGATCAAATTACCAAACATTAAAATATTAACTAACATCTATATGGTCTTCTTGGGTTGCGCTTAAATCTCTTAACATGCTTATTTTTAATTTTTTTCTTACATGTTCAGACTCTTGATTAAGATCTAACATTAATTATTGAAAAATAATCAAAAGACAAATTAATCATATATATTTTGAAATTTACTATCAAAAAAAAAAAAAGACAATTGAAAATTTTTTTTCTCTTTTCTATTATAATCAGTTAACCTTTTTCAGTTTCAATCCAACACTTGTCAAATATTTCATCTCTTTGTGAACCATTTGATGTGACTGCTTTATTACGATCATTGAATTTTGATTGTACATATCGTTTCCAAAATTCTTGTTCTGATAGCTATTATTTTTAATTTCAATATAATACCAGCAATAATAACAATTATAGTTAGATATATATAATTTTATACAAAAAAAAAACCAGTACAATAATTATAGATTAACTACCTTTTCAGGAACATAAAGTTTATAAGCAGCTTCTACACGTGGATACTCATCAAATATCTCACGGATAAGTTGAGGAGTTATATTAATTTTAACCTCGCCGCCATCTTCAGTCACAGGTCGTAAGTGAGGCATTGTAGAGGAACGACCTCTTTGTTGGTTCATACGTGAATCTTGATCACGTAATAGATCCTGAACCATATCAACCAATCACATATTTGATTTTTTTTTTCAAGTTAATAAAAAAATTTTTGCTAAAAAACATTTTTTTTATTTTTAAATTTTTTTTTCTATATTTAATGTGACATACGCAAATTCATAGTATGGAAATAAAACCATACTTTTCTCAACTCCCAGAATTCCTCTTCATTGATACATTTTTGTTCTACTACAAGAGTTTTATGCTGATCAGCTAAAGCGTTATCTCTAAGCAGTAATTGTTTTCGTAATTCAATATCTTTACTGGTAAGTTGTGGTTTTCTAATCGATATCGATGATGATGATGATGGTGATGATGATGATGGAGGCGTGGTGATGATTCTACTTGTGTTTCGTGTAGCAGGAGATGATGAACCAGAAACTGGTGATGGGGCAGCTGAGCGTTGATAGACTGGTGAAGGTCTTGAGGCTGTAGAAGATGTCACAACAACACCTGATCGTTCACGTTGTATACTTTCTGTTAATTCTTCTTTTATTTTTTTTAATTCATCCCAACCTGCTGGCGGTTTTAGTGTAAATATAAAATGTTGTGAATCAGATGAATTATTGTTACTATTATTATTATTATTATTATTATTATTTTGATTTACTATAATCTTAAATTTTGGTTCAGCTGAATCTTCTTTGACAAACGATATTTCTAGAGGTAAAATAAGACAATTTTAATTAGTTATTGATTTTTCCCATATTCATGCAAAAAGAAAAAAACCATGTTGATTAAGTTACTTTGTATTGTAGATATGAAAAAGTCTACTACCGGATTTGACTCGTTACTTGGAGTCCAAAGAACCCTTTTTGTTGTCATTGTAAAAACACCATCTCTTTCTAAATAATTGGCTACTGCTCTCAAGGAAACTTGTTCATTCATATTTTTTATTTTTTTTTATTTTTTTTTTAAAAGTGAAATTAAAGCAAAATTTATGATTGGTTCATCATTAATTTATAAACAATCGGATTTCATGTATTATTTTCGACAATAATAACCTTTTCGATAAATATTTCTTTTAATAAAAGAAATTTAACAAGTTTCGACTTGAACCCAATTCTCATAACCACAAAACCAAACCATTCGCTGATATAAATCACCTAATATGACCCGTATTATCACCGTTAATTATACGTGCTCTTCCACTCAAATAGGACGGTGGACATGTTCAATCATTAACATGCCGCTTATTTTTTTTTCCGTGTATTTTCTTTCAAAATAAAAATGTCTCTTCTTTTTTACAAATTAAAACTATTCTTTTATTATTACATATTATAAAATGTAAAAAATCAAATTGTCTTTACATAAATATGAGTAGTGTTAAATTGATGTTTTTTTTTTCGAATTCTTGATTTTGAAATTAACTACAGAACTACGCCTAATAATAATACGCAACAATATTAATAATGTTCTTTGGTGTCTGAGTTTGAAAAATATTGGTTGATCAATATTGGTACTTAGAATGACCTTTACACAGCACACAAGACAGGTTTTGTTAAGTTTTAATTTTGTTCATCACTTTTAAATCTTCAAAGAATTTCTTTTATTGTTGAATCACGATAATCAATCACTAGTGTTTGGTTGTTCTTTAAATAGTGCAATTCTCGTTTCAATTTATATATTAATCCTGTTAGAGAAAAACTTGAAAAAAATGTTGTACGTTTCACGTCACTCACTCAAAAAAATCTCCACATTTATTAAAAAAAAACAAGTCAAAGTTTATACTTGGGACATGTTGCAACAAAACCAGACAAAAGTGAACATTGGTGTTACCAAGAATTTCAGGGATCAAAATTTAGTAATGTGATTATTAAAATCTCCCATCTGCTATCTTTATTAAATGGCTCCTATAATAATATTAATATGAAACTATGGAAATCCAAGGGCGATCCTTCCTTTTTTCAGATAAATCATCTGCTGGATAAGAAATTGATTGTCCTAATTCATATATGTTTAATCTATGATTTAAGATGATCCCATTTCACAATATTTATACATTCAAATTCTTCTTTCTTAACAATCAAGATCAATAAGATATGTAAAGTTTCATTAATTATTTTTCAAGATCCACATATGATTTCAGATGCATTTTCTTTGATGCACACAATGCCATTGTGGGGGATTTGAGACAAATCCGCCTAAGATGGCATTAGTGTGTCTGTCCCGCCTGGAAGGCCAAAGAGCTAACAGTTTTTTATTCCGGATTTTTGACCACACTTGAAAGTGGCGAATTTTAGTTTTTAGGCCACATTTTTTGACTCATTTTGGTTCGATTTTTATTTACATATCAGAAAACGCCTGTAGAGGCTATAGATTTCTTAATTATCTAACTAACTTTTAGCCGTTTTTATTGCCTCCAAAGCTTAAAAGGCTATGCAATCTAAAAATCTAACCAAAAAAATCTAACGAAATTTTATGCTACTCAAATTCCCATTAAAAAGGGCTATGCGAAGTGAATAGATATGAATGTAATAAATATCTATGAACGAAGCATAGCCTGGCTAGAAAGCCAAATAGCATAACAATTATAAAAATCTAACCAAAATCTAACCGAAAATTCCAACTGATATCTTTTTCCGCATATCAGAAACAGGCTCTAAAGCATTTCCAGAAAAAAATTGTCCTTGGATAAAAACGGCTCAGATCAAGTTCCTGATATGCACCTAAATATAACCAAAATCTAACCGAAAAATTCTTTTTCCGCATATCAGAAACCATCTCTAAAGCATTTCCCTGAAAAAATTGTCCTTGGATAAAAACGGCTCAGAGCAAGTTCCAGATAAACAAAATATATGTATTAGTGTGTAATCTATGATAGTATTGAGCAACATAAAACCCTCGGATATGTAAAGGGTAACGGCCAGAAACAGAGGCAGTAGGCTTACTGCACTCGGAGCATGGAAAACGTTTGTTGGCTTTATAGTGTAAATGACATCCTGCAGGCTTCATACAAGATTTCCCGCAAATGGCACCAGAATTATGTAGATAGGAGCAGGTATAAGCACCATGCATTTTTTTGAATATAAAGATTTTTAACGTTTAATTAATTTTTAATAAATAAATACATAAATTTTTCGAAAAAAAAAGTTGGGCAAGTTACGCATGAAAATTTAAAAATCCTTGCATTTTCCCATCCCTAACTATTACTATGATTTTCTTATGGATAAAAAGACAACTTTTTCAATTATGGTTGTAATGTGATTTAAATATAAAATTTGTTTTGTTGAAAAAAAAATTTCACTGAAACGATGTTTGTTGAAATGAGGGTTTGAAAAATTGTCAAATTTTAAACTAAATTTGTTGAAATTTTATTTGGAACACAAAAATGCAAGTCATAAAGGAAAAGAATTTGTTTATTTAACAAAATCATCAAAAATGTCATCCTTAGATAATATAAATTTATTATTTAACAACCTTATTACTTTAGACAAGAATGCTTTACCGTTAAAGTATATTAATAAACTTTTAAATGATTTAACAACATTGTTGAATGAAGCACACTATTATGATGTTGAAATTAAAATCGGAGAGGGTCAACATGTTAAAACTTTTAAAGCTCATTCCACCATTTTAAAAGCAAGATCCTCTTATTTTAATGCAGCCTTTTTTAATAGTTGGACAAAAAAATCTAAAGATGGTGTTATTTTATTCGAAAAAAAAAATATTTCTCCAAAAGTATTTGAAGTTATTTTAACGTAAGAATTGTTTAACTTGTTATTTAATCAATCATAGTAACTTAAAAATCTAAAAAATAATTTTTTTTTGTTTTTATTTTTAAAAGGTATATTTACAATGGAATCATTAATACAGATAGTTTAAATACAATTGAAGTTGTTGAACTTCTTGAAGCATGTGATGAATTAAATATTCATGAATTAATCGAGGATTTACAAAATCACTTGATTTTCAAAAAAAAAGAGTCAATCAAGCGAAACTTAGTTCGCATTCACAAAATTTCATCACATCATCAATTGTTCAATTTACTTCAAGACTATTGCAACAAATTAATTGATGAAAATCCAGAATCATTTTTAAGATCTAATGATTTTAAAGAGATTGAAAAACCTATGCTTATGACTATATTGGAAAAAGATAATTTAGAATTTAAAGAAATTGATATTTGGGATTTAGTTATACGATGGGGAATAGGTCAAGATGAAGAAGAATTGGGAAAAAATATATCCACATGGAATAAAGATGATTTCATCAAGTTGAAAAGCATTATAGAAGATATTCTTCCATTAATACGATTTAATCAAATTTCATCAAATGATTTTTATCTAAAAATCAAACCTTATAAAAAAATATTTGTCAAAGAAATATATGAAGAACTTCTTCAATATCATATTACTGATAATTATCAACCCAGATTTATAATTCAAAAAGGTCCAAGAACAGGGATTGGAAAATTATTGAATTCAGATATAAAATGTTTAATTTCTGGATGGATTAGTGGAATTTATAACAAAAATAATGCTTTTCATGATTTTAAATTAATTCTTTGTGGATCTCGACATGGATTTTCTAGATCTGTCTTTGAAAATAAATGCTATAATATTGGACAAACTGTGGTTATAATGAAAATAAAAGGAACCGGTGAATTAGTTGGTGGCTATAATCCTACTTGTTGGAATATAAAAGAACAGCCTCCAAATGTTGCTTATTTTATTAAAACTGATAAAAGTTTTATTTTTAAAATTGATGAAAATAAAATAAATAATCCAATAATAAGTATAGCCAAGAATCCTGAACATGCAATATGGCATAGCAAACAAAATGTTGATATTACTGCAGATAATATAAAATTTAAAGAAATTCCCATGAGTTTTATAGACTTGGCACTATTTAACTGTATTAATAACAAATCTTATTGTTATTATAGTCATAGTTCTTATAAATTGAATTTGAATCTTCAAAATAATAACACATTTCGTTTAATAGAGGAATTTGAGGTGTACAGGTTAATCCCATTCTAGGGAAGGAGTCGAAAAATGCATTGAATATCTAAAAAATTTAGCTCAATAATTAGATAAAAAAGATCTGATAATGATATTATTTATTTGAAAAAACGGTTAGTTCTTTTAACATAAGAATTATAGACACTAATTATCGGATGTGGAAATTTTCAATGATTGGTTGGTTGAAAATTACAATAAAATAAAACTTTAATAGAATTATTTAAAATAAAATCAACCGCTAATAAACTTTGGTAAAGGTCAACAATTGTAGTTAAAGCTCCAAACGGTTCGTTTCGGTTTACATTCGACCCAAGAATTTCAGACATCCTAAATTTGTTAACTACACAAAAAAAAATATAACTTCACAAAAAAAAAATAAAAACTTGTAGCCTGGTTTTGGAGAGTGTGTGTTATGAAGTAGAGATGCTGGAAGGGCCATGTTCTAAATACATACATACCATGGTAGCGAAGGTCCATTCCTTACCAAAATTGGAGTGGAGACCATGATCTTTATCAATCTAAACTATTATTATATCGATTTTCTATTAGATAAATAACTACATTTATAAATTTAATTACCCATGATTGTATATTATAGAGTTGATTCTCTTTTTTTATTTGGAAACAAAGTTAATTAGTATTAAAAACCGTATTAATAAATTGTTGACAATTCCTTTACCCATCCACTAGTATTTACTTGAGAGTACTTTCACTGAACTAGATTATGATTTAACTATTATGATATAGCATTATTGTATGTTATATGATTCCAGCTACAATTAATAATAATAACCACCATCCAGTCATCGTCGCCATACAAATTCAATTTTAATTTTAGATTTAAAGTTACCGCATTGAACT